GGGTTGCCAGAATCTGGAATGGGCTTCCAAGGGGGTGGTGCTGTCCCCTACCTGGGGGGTCTTCAAGAGGAGACTGGAGAAACCCCTGGCTGGGGTCGTGTGACCCCAGCGCTCTTTCCTGCCCAGGACAGGGGGTCAGACTCGATGGCCTACTGAGGTCCCTTCCAACCCAAACATCTATGAATCTGTGAATCTATGACAGGAAGCCTCTTCTCTGCCTTTATTCATGTGTTATTTTATTTAGAGTACTTTACTTTAAAATCCATTCCTTTCATTTCATTGCAGAAGGCAGCTATCATAGACAAAATCCTACTTCAATGGATGCTATGAATGGACCTGGAGAAAGCAAGGGTTCTAAACAGAAGAGAATTAAACTACAAAAGAAAGATATATATTTGATTTCACTACAACTGCCTGCAAAGCAAGATGCTGCCTGTGCTCAGGGAGGTGGGCTGACTTTGGCATAGACAAGTAAGTGAATACATTCCACAATGTTTTTTTGCAAAGTGTACTTACAGTTCGCTGGGCGTCCATCACCATGTACAAAGCAAACTGGTTGCCATCCACCTTGTCATCATTATATTTTCTGAGGGCTATATCCACAGCTTCGAAGACTTCAGGATGGTCGCAGTCTACATCCTCAGCGGGCAGTGGGCTGGCTTTGCTTGAGAAAGAACTGCAGCAGAGCAGTAGCACAATGAAAAATTTCATATCTGAGCATAAACTTGGGGGACTCTTTCAAAAGACGAACACAATAGAATGCCTGTTAGTGATTTAGTAACCTCTTCCTCTATTTTTCAGAGGCTTGAGGCAAGCAATCAGAGTGGGCGCGCTGATAGGCTGGTGGATTCCCGTCATATCCTATTTACAGTGCAAATAGCCCCTTGGGTTTATCCAAACAAAGTTTGTGCAGTCATCAGAATGACCCCAAGGTTGTCCACTTGCCATCAAGATAATAGGATAAGCCTTGGCAGCTGGTGTAACAAGGTCAGCATCAACAGTATGAGCCCTCGAGCCCACAGAAAGCTTTAGAAACCTTGGTAGGCCTCTAGGTCCTGGTTAATTTTTCTCATCTAACCACCCACTCTGAATGAATCAGAACAGGAGGCCTAAAGAGAAAGACCTAAGCAGGCCACAGTGTTTCACTGAGACAATGAAGTGCTGGTGCTAGACAGTGACACCATGATTGTAAACGAGCTGTTTAATACTCAAAATGCAAAAGTTCCAGAAAATCAGCGTATGTTGCAAAAATGTCTGCAGAAACGTTATCAGTGAACATCTAGCTCTGATGGCTCTTTAGAGTTCCTTACTCTGTAATTGAAACTGCTGATTTGCCAACCCTTACAACCTAGTGGAATGTGCAGCTGGTGATAAACTAATTAATGCTCATCTCTACACAATACAGTCGATAAGCATTAGTCAGTAATCTGGGAAACTGAGGCCCAGTGAGGTGATGTGTCCGTCTTTGATGCCCCTCAGTGAAACTGTGGTGGAGCCAGCATTAGAAATAGCTGCTAATACTCATGCCAGCTACCAGACAACCTGATCTCTGAGCCCTGAACTCATTATGAATGGCTAGGCTCCAGGATTCTGCTTGCAGTCTTATCATATATTTTAGTTAGAGTCCTCTGTTAGTAACACATAAAGAAGAACTATGGGAAAAGAAAGCCATTAAGGTACCAAAGTCAAGCACTAATATTTGAGGGATGCCAGAATTAAAATTGGCTATCCAGCCTTAGTTCAGCCCCTTGTATGTGCGCAGTCCAAGAAGGTCTTTAATTATACAGCCACGTGCCAGTCCATGGGAACCCTGCCTCGGAAAGGACTGTGCTCACTAAGCAGGCAGCTATTTAATATTTTGCTTCCTCCTTGTAGAGTGTGGGCCCCATGCTGTATTTACTGCATACTGCTCTGAAAACAGAACAACTCATTTCCTCATGGGACTTTTTATGGTGTTCAACAGCCTTTACAAGCATTCAACAAATTTTACCCCTGTTAGATGAAAGGGGTTTTATTGTTATCTCCTTTTTATACAGGTGGGGAACTGAGATGCAAAGATGCTAAGGGTGCTTACAGGTATGGAAAAAAAGAAAACAGTGCTTTGCTTTCAGCTTAGTACGCACTGAGCACAACACATGCCCAGAAGAGGAATTGAGTCATTTAGACCCAACTCACCTTACATCCCTATAGCTCATGGACTTCAATGGGGCTTTTTGGCACTTTTATCTAGCAGCTGATTCAATCAGCTGTAGATTAAAGCAGGAAAAAGCCCCCTAAAGCGTGCAAGCTATACAGACGCTGGGGAGCTGTGTCAAACGGATGGGATTTCTCTTTTGGAAAAGCTCTAGGGTTTTTTTTCCCCATATCTGTCAGCAGCCTAATGTCAAAAGTGAGCACTAATTTTGAGTGCCTAATTTGAGACACCTATGATACACTATTCAGCATGCTTAGCATTATTTAGCATAGTTTCTGTGGCGGGTGGGTAGGTGACGCAGCAGCCAGGCAGGGGACACAGAGAAGCC